CCCCCCCCCCCTAGTTACTGAATCCTCACAATAATTTTACTTGTATTTAAAAACAACATTATTAAATTAAAGATGTTGAATTTTTTGAATAAAATTTGTAATTTTCATAATCAAATCGAAAGATAAACTTCTTAAGACCTATAAAATGTGGAGATTAACTTTTTAAATTTCTGACAATGGTTTAATGTGCAAATAAAGATGTAAAAAATATAAAATCATCTTACCAGTAAAAAAAAACTATTATATTCATAAAATTGGATAAAATTACAAAAAAAAACAATAATATAATCGACCTCTTCGATATATTATTTTATTTAAAGTAATTCAGTAACTGAAACAAATTTACGTCTTGTTTCGATTGCTGTGCACTGTCTTTTACGATGCGTGCCTTGTTTACCGAACCCTCTCGTGCCGAACCACGTGTTACGTCTAACCTTACTTTCTTGCTCTGTGAAATGTGTACACGCTACACGTGATATTCCTTTTTTAATAATATCGTAAGTATTAAAACACATATAATAAATTATGCGAAATAATTTAGTACGGAATATTTTACGTTTTCACATTTTTGTTAACGGATTATTTAGAACCTAGAACTGATCACTGTAATTACATCGATGTACAAAAATTGACACACAGTAACTAGAAAAGGCTGAATAACTGACACGATGATTAATCTTTTATCCTTCTAAGGGCAGAGTGACTCGCTCAAAAACTGTGAAATATTTCGTATTGTTTACATATTTTACTTATGAACAAATTCGTATTTATATGTATAAAACACATCAACATATAATTAAAATGTTTCAAGAAGTGCGGTATGCGTAAAAAAAGCAATTTAATTTAATGGTCACAGTAATTGATACACTTACCTCATTGCATGTACAGTAAATTTTCTTACATTGTCCCTCAGCTTGAAAGAAAATGGATAACCTAGGAATAGGAGACACGATTATTCGAGCCTCGCTGCTCGTTTTCATGGTTATTAATAATCGGCAATTATAATCGTATTTCCTCTTCCGAAGTTGTTCATTCTCGTTCCCAGGCTGAGCGATAATGTGAGAAGAGAAATTACTGCACCATAAGAGTAGAGATTTATTTAATTTCTTCATATATTACGTCAAAACTGCTACCTTATTTTGTTGTTTCCCACATATATGTACAAATAGATGTTCATACCAAAAAATCCTGAGGTGCCTTATTATTTTGTATATCACGGCGATGTCCTTGATGATCTGCATTTCGGTTTTTCATGTCAGCTTTCAGGAAGATGACGACAGCAGCGACGGCAATGTCTTGCAGTTGGATGGCTCGTGATATTCTCAGTGTTTTTGAGAGTGGACGAGACTTGATTTTACGAACCAAGGCAACCTACGAGAACGGTTTTATGCTAATTATACATTAATACCCTTTAATTTTTTAATTTTATAGCAAGTATCGTTACAGTTGTCGTCGTTATGCAAATGAGTGATATACATTTTCGCGCTAAGACTTATGAATTCAATATTATAATCCGATCATTTTGTTGTTCGCGATCGCAACACCGTACATGTTATTTTCACCACAATTACTTGTACCATATCGAAAGATATCGCGTTTTATCATCTCGTATGCGTCCTGGCAAATTAAACCGTTTCGATTGATTTTTGTATATTACATCAATATTAGCGGGCAAATGGGCCAAAATGAATTCTAATTTTACAAACTTCTTCGGATGCATTAACAAATTGACATAACAAATTATTATTTGCATGTGTTTGCCCATCCCCATAAAGTGGCCGTTGCTCCTATTCGGCGTGTTTACGTTTCAGATTTTTCGAACATATGATACATATCATACATAATTTTTAGTTAAACGTGCTATTATTATGCCCATCCATTTTTGTCCATAAAGATTCTTTTCTTTTTTCAAATAAAATTGTTTAGATCGGCGAAATTCAATTTTATTTCATTTGTGTGTTTATAGCGGTAAGTTTGCAAGTTTGCATAGAAAAAAAACCATGATTGTAATCTTAAGTAAATAAAATTCACATTAACCCTCGTATAACGGTGGCTGGGGCAATCTGCGGCAATTAAATTAAATAAATTATTGTTGCATTAGGAACAACAGGAAGGCTAATAGATCTGCAAGTTGCTCAACGAAGCTCTCAGAATTGTTATAAACATCGTTGATAGTACAGTTGTGAAATGGTCTGTCGTCCGAGGGTTAATTTTAACGTGTGCTATTTTTTGGTCGCGGACTGTAATACCGTATCTGCTGCCCCAATTTTACAAATTTCTTCAGATGTATTAACGAATTAAGATAACAAATCATACTTGCACGTGTCTGCTCATCCCCAAAATGTGAATTCGATCGTACAAGTAGTAACAACAAAACATACATATTATAAACAAATCATAAAATCGTGAAAAAAAGAGATATGAAACGACATCGATCGTAAATAAGTAATAATTTTAAAAATGTCAAACTTCTTGGAAACGTATCATTAAATAATTGAGGTATAAAATCAGTAACAAGAATTTAAAAAAAATTATTTTATAACTTTTCAATTTAATTTTATAAGGCGTTCAAATACTTGTGCGCCGTGAAAATTCGATGTTTTTTGTATTTTGATATTTTTAAGCTCTGCTTTAATATACCATAAAAGATTTTTTCCTTTGTATGTATATTTATTTAAATACATGGCGTAGAAGTGAGAGTGTACGAATACTTTCGTGTCTGAGTGTACATATATGATTGACCCATCGAAAACCTCTGTGTGGTAAATGCTGTGACATGGGCCAACCATATAAATTGTTAACACCGATAGATACAGTGACTCGCATTAATATTCGGACACCACATTGTTAGAGGAATTGTTGCTCCTTTTTATTGTTTAAGATAGTATTATTGAATCAATTGTTTTCTCATATAATAAAGCACTTCTTAAAGTAAGTTTTGTTTAGTTATTCCACATGGTTTTTTGTATAATAAGCGATAAACAAGATTGTGACAAAATTCTACGTCGCAAAAATATTCGGACAGTGAATGAATTACATTAATTTTATATAAAATTTCTTTTTGTTTCGCAAATTTGCAAAAGAATATTTTTACAAAGACAACTGGTGGTTTCAAATTTAAGACCGACAGTCTTAAATCAGACAGAAGTGCTTTATTATATGAGAAAACAATTGATTTAATAATACTATCTTAAACAATAAAAAGGAGCAATAGTTCTTCTAACAATATGGTGTCCGAATATTAATGCGAGTCACTGTATGTCGATAGATATTTATTACTAGAGTGCGGATCTTTATGCATGTATGACAAAAATAAATATTTCAAATGCAAAATAGCAGAAGAGCATTTGAGCGATTCAATAATATTATTGTATTACTAATATTATTGTCAACTAATTAAAATTATTAAGGAGTTAAATGAAGATTTATGTAGTTCCTGCATCTTGAAATGAATGATGATAATTTTTATTTTACATAAAAATCCGCAGTCCACTTATTCCACTGTTCAACAAATCAAGAATTATTTTTTGCGTTCTAATAACCGCTGGGCGATACTTGCAGAGCGTCACTTCCCAAACGTAAATCCGAAAACCGAATTGCTCTCTCATCCCCAGTTTTCAGAAACCACGAATTTCCGGGAGAGCGTATGATTTTTAGCAAAAACGAAGTGTATTGCACGTAAAATAAAAATGTTATAGAGGCCATATTGGTTTAAAAGATAGAGGAAAGGTTCCTGTATATGTCAGTATCGTCATCTATAATATTTTATGCTTCGAAATTGTGTTAAATAACCGTCAAAGTTTAAAAGAAATACCGGAGTACGTATTTCCTACGTAATATGTTTGCATATTTTCGAAGAAATTCATTAGGTGACACGAAAACTGACCACTGCGTCTGATTCTGTAAATGTTTCCGAGGAAGTAACTATGGAGAAAATGTGTCGAAGCGGTATTAAATTCGTACAGGTCGAGGAAATATCCGTCGGCAACGCGTTTACGACGATTCGGAGCCGCGCGCGCGGCAAAAAATATCATAAATATCGATACAACTGACATATTCAGAAACCTTTCCTTTACCTTTTAGGCGAATATATATGACCTTTCTAACGGTTTTAGATATCGTGCACACAATGCTTCGTTTTTGCTAAAAATCGCACAAAGTTTGGTTTTCGGCATTCTTTCGATAAAAAATTATTTAATTAACCGTTCGAATAAATCTTCAAGTAACTTTTGCCAGCTCGAATGAACGCGTTGCCGAGCGTCGAGCCTCGAACATCAAAGACATACAATGTAAGCAGAGCTGGGTAAAATAGTCTTTCGAATAGCAAGTAGTAAACAGATCTTTTATTTTAGATCATGCATATATTCTTGAAGACAAAATATTTTATTCGTCCGAAAGAATATATGTACTTTTAAAAATAAAATATTTTATTCGTCATAACAAATTATTAAAATAATATTTTAAATAGTATTTTGTTTGGAGAATACTTAAAATATTTGTGCCATAGTTCGGAATATTTTATTTATTTTAATTAATTTAAATAGATTAAAATAAATTGAAATAAATTAAAATAAATTTATGTAAGTAAGTATACAAAGTATACACTTCGTTACACGCGAATAGCTGTATTTAAAAAGACGATAAATTTCATTTGTTTTTACGATTTATGTTATTAAAATAAAAAGTATTTTATTTTATATTTTAGATTCTCAAAATCAAATACTTGTCTTCACGATTTAACTTCAGAGATTACCAAAATAAACTATCTTATTTTACGTTTTACATTATAGAAAATAGAACATTTATTTCATGCTTTAGACGTGGATTATCAAAATAAGATATTGTATCTACTGAAATTTTATATCCTACTTGAAGTACAAGTTTGAATTGAGAAGAATCTATTATTTAAAATAGTATTTCAAATATTTTTTCTCTATAAATGTTACCCAGCTCTGAATGTAAGCAGATAGAGAATCAAGCATTATTAATAATTTTAACTTTTATATTTTTAACGCGAATAACTTGTAGAGATTATCCTGAACCCTGCTAACATAACTCCGAAAAATAAGGGTTGACAACAAATTTGTTACAATCATCATCATCATTGATATAAGCAAAAAATGTTCAATTGATCCACAGAATGAATTAAGATGATCACGTTCCGCGGTCCACCCTGTATATGTACTTACAGTGGATGTAGAAAGTATTTGTACATCTTTTAAACCAAAATAATTTTTTTGTAATTAGGCCAAATGACCTAAATTCTTTTGGAATATTAGAGGGATTAATTTACTAGACAATAGCTAAAAAATTATTCAATTCTTAAAGAAAGACAAAAGTAACGTTAATGAAATAAATGCAATCAAATAAATCTAAGAAACTAAAAAGTAAAATAATCTTACATATTTTCGTGTACTAAAATTGCAGAAAAATATGTGATATACTAACAAAATATCGTTAACTACATTATTGCCATATAACTTTATCTCGTACAACATTAAATTCTCAAAAAAGAGGAAACAATTCTATCATAAAATAGACTTAAT